GTTGTTTCCATGCCCTGGCTATTGTAAATAATGCTGCTATGAACATGGGGAGTGTACGTATGAGTTATCTTTATGAATTAGTGTTTTCCTTTCCTTTGGATATATACCCAGAAGTGGGATTGCTGGGTCATAAGGTAGTTCTGTTTTTTATTTTTGGAGGACCCCCCATACTGTTTTCTATAGTAGCTGCACAATCCCACCAACAGTGCATAAGGGCATCTTATTCTGCACATCCTCACCAGCATTTGTTATCTCTTTGAGAATGGCACAAGGTGGGAAAGATCGTTTTTAACTTGGTATCGTTTGGGGGGAAATTTGATTGGTTAATGAGATCTAAATGTTTGGAAGCCACTGTTTTAAAACTCTTTAACCATAGATGGAACCCTTAAGAGAGCCAGAGAGACTCCCCTAAGCTAAAATAGATAGGACTCTGTGGGTTAGATTCCTTTTTAAAATATCGGGTTGTCGGAAAAGTCACGATACATTTTTGTAATGAAAAATGGAAAAAATACATCATGACTTTTACGACAACCCAATACATACTTTTTTGCTTAGCTTTCCTTAGGTCATGCTGCGGTGAACAGTTCCAGTGAACAATTCCAAACTCTCAGTGGCTTTCAGCAACAGCTTTAGTTCTCTCTCATGGTCCGTGTTGCTGGTGTGTTGCTGCAAATTGGCTCTGCGTGTATCTTTGTTCAGGGACCCCGTCTAAAGGAGCAACACCTACCTAGGACATGTCATTTTCGTGACAGAAGGAAGAGGGGGAAATAGCTGAACTGTTTTTGCCTGTCGGTGCCGTTGCTGCTCTCATTCTGTTGGCCAAACCTGATGTCAGTGGAGATGAGGACGCATAACCCTCCCTTAGTCCCTGCAAGTAACATGGCGACAGGTAGAGGTAAACCTCTTATAGGAGGGGAGCGATAATGAAATCTGTCACAGTATCACTCATACGAAGCACTCATGTGATGGATATGAATAGTTTAAAGAACAACAATAAACACTTAGGTATCCACTACCAAGCTGAAAACATAAATATAGCCAGTACCTTTGAAGCCCCCTGGGTGCTTCTATACCACTTACCCAAATGTAACCATTCTCTTGAAATGTGTTGATCATACCCTTCTTCATGCATTCTGTTGTATGAAAGTCCCACACTTTCTTTTCTCTTGAGTGAATTCCAGGGGTTTTTTTTGCTAGTATGAAAACGTTGCTAAGGACATTCTTGTATGTGTCTTCTGATGTACATACAGCACAAGAGTCTCTCCAGGCAATATACTTAGGGGTGGACTTGCTGGAATGTAGGACATAAGCCTCTTCAATTTTAGTAGATAACACAACATTGTTTCCCAAAAAGCCTGACAGTATCTAATTTTCAGTCCGATTCCATTTTGAATGTACAGGGAGGGGCTTCTCAAACTTTCATGGGTACACAAATTACTTGGGGATGCTATTAAAAGTACAGGGTTTGATTCAGTAAGTTGAGGGAGGGATGGGAGCTGAGAGCCTACATCTCTAAGCAACTCGCAGGCGATACACCATAGACCATACTTTGAGTAGCAAGTGTCTCTAAGGCACTAATAGAGTTACCCGGTGTTGGCTGCCCATAGCGCCTAAGGAACTTTTAGAACAAAAATAACATTTGATACAGCCAATTCAATCTAAGATTTTTCAATCGTGCCTGGTATTTTTATTGACATTGCATGAGCATATAAAGAATTTTTTTTTTAATGTAGCAACTTGAGAAAAAAAAGCACCAAGCCACAACTTTAACCACTCTACTTGTTGTACCTACTACAGATGTTTGGTTTTTTTTTTAAAAAAAACTTCCTGTCTTGTGCAAATATTGGCTATTAGTGAATAAAGTAGTAGATTCTTTTTTTTCTTCCTAAGGATTTATTACTTTATAACTTACAAAGAGAATTCAGAATTTAAACCTGAGCCACCATTCTAGAGTTTTAAAGACACTCTTTCTGTTTTGGCTATGTTGGTTCTGGATTAATATAACCTAGCAAGTAGTTAAAAAGTGACCTATAAATATCTCCACTAACATTTTTCAACATAAACATCGCTAAGCTAGGGGAAACTTTGACCAATTCTATTAAGTTATTTTTTAAATTTTTACTTGTTTCTACTCATTCACAGATGAATAACAGTATAGAACAACTGACTTTTATTTAGTATAATATAGAATATAAATTTTAATTTATTTTTATTTATATACCTGTACATTATCCATTTTAAATCAACCATGAAATATTTTTAATGTAATCTTTTATTCAACAAGAAGAATTTCTAAGTGATTTCTTGAAAGGAAGAAAGTTTAAGGCATCTTTAAGGGAGGTAATAGAACTCATCAATAAGCAAGTATTAGAATAACTGATGATCACTCAGTAACTGTATGAAATGAAGGATAAAATAAAAATAAGCACATTTTCCTCAGTGCAAGATGGTGACATGTGGTCCATTGCATGCATTTGTAGCAAGATAATTTCTACTACCAAATTGCATTGTTAAAAAAATAGCTGTTAAAACAGGAACACCACTCAGGCTAGCTTAAGCAATGGCAGGGTTTTATTGACCCATGTAACTGGAAAGAACAAGAGTGGAATGGGCTTTAAATAAATGAAATAGAGGCTTTAATTATGCTGCCAGGACCCTTTCATCATGGTCTACCTTTGGTTCTCTCTTTCTGTGGATCTTCTCATGTAGATGGGCTTTCCTCTAAGTGGTAGCGATGGCGAGGGTGGTAGAGGGAACATTTTGAGGAGGAAGACATAATGATGACTTCAGGATCACGTTATTCCAAAGGGAAGTGAGAAAACACTCCCAGAGGCCTTCCACTCTAAAGTAGCCCTGTAAGTCATTCATTTTTTGTTAACACTTTCCCTCACAGCCTTTTTCACAAATTATCTCATTTATTTATTTGCTCGCCTGATTGTTTTTCTTTCCCATTAGAAGCAGGAACTGTACCTATTGTGTTGATAGGGTAATCTATCTAGTAGGCAGTCTGGAAATAGTAAGCCAAAAATCTTTGAAATTTCAGGGAAAGACTCAGATCCTGCTCGAGTCACCTGTCATTAGGTGGTCTGGAGGGTAGGGGACTATAATTGATGGACCTACCAGAACCTCCTGGAATAGGGGAAGGACAGTTTTACACAGGAAATGGAAATACCATTCGTTAAAAAAATTGGGGAAAAGGGCCGGCCGAGTGGCACGTTGGTTAAGAGCTGGCTTAGGACGCCAGAGGGCCCTGGTTTGGATCCCACATATGAGGGCCAGTGACACTGCCCTCCACAGCTAAGATGCTGAACAACAGCTCAACCTGGAGCTGGGCTGCCGTGAGTCGCCGGCGAAGGTGTAGGCTGCAGCCCCTGCTGCAGTGGGTTGCCATGGGCTACCGTGTGTAGCCAGCAGCCAGTGTGAGCGGCTGTCCAGAAGCCAGTGTGAGCGGCTGTCCAGAAGCTGGCGGCTGATCTGCCTCGCCCGGGAAGAGCGCAGTGATGGTGCCAACTTGGGCCAGTGAAGCAACGTCCTCCACAACTAAACTGAAGAACAAAAAGGACAGCAACTTGTCTGTTCCCCTTACCCCAATTCCCCAATAAAATCTTAAAAAAAAAATGGGGGAAAGATGCTGAGCAAACAACAACAAGAATACATGTCCATCATTTGTGTTTCACTTTCTTTAAGCATGGTTTAATAATGCACCCAACTGCCCAGTCTGTGTGTAAGATTCTGCAGATTCTGCATTGAGGGCGCTTGGCTGAGGGGATGGAGTGGGGCTGAAATCCAGCCCAAGGCTCCACTCACGGGGCTTCCTTTTTTTAAATTTACACAAAGGCTCTGTATGGTCTCTATGGCCCTGGTTGAGTATCTGTATCTCCATTTAACCTTCTGAGTAGCTTATGTTGAAATAAGAATACTAGGAGCAAAAGTCTGAGCTGGACTTGTCTGCATGTGCATCCCACTGGCCAACTCAGCGGGGAGTTTGTGCTTAGCTATGTCCTGAAAGAGATGACTGGGGAAAGTCCCCTTTTTTCCCTTCCCCTCCCTTCCCATTTTTCTGCTTAGCGTTAGTTGGTCCAGTTTTCTGAGGACACATTTTGAGCTTCTGAACTTGAGAGTGACTGGGTGGTGATACAGATAATGTCATCCTTCTTTCTGCTTTATCTACATTTCTCTGCATTTCCATTTTGGTCAACCTGATAATTCTTCAAGAAGTAGAAGAAACTGTGTGTATTCATCACTGGCCCTTCAGTGGAGTAGACTTGCCTGAAAGCTCAATCCCTTTGAGGTTTATTTTGTATTTGGTTTGATTCAAGACCTCTTTGAGGAAGTGAAATGCTCATTATTTTGAGGTGAGTGGGTTGAAGGAACTGAAACTCACTCAGTCTGATTCATTTCTGGCTTCTGGGAATCTCTTAAGTTCCAGACATACAGCTGAGCCTCTGATCACGTGGAGGGTTCTCAGGCAGCTTTTCTAACCTTTTTTCTCTTTCGGGGGCTTAGTTTCATCTCTGCTTTATTTTGGACATTGGTTCCATTCATTGGATTTTCTTCAAACACTGGCTTTCTCTGTATACAGATCACTCTGCAGTAGGAAAAAATGGCAACTACAATAGTACTTAATCTTCTCATTGGATGAGAAGATCCAATGCAAGTCTCAGTGCAAGTCCAAAGGAAGTCAGTACTGTAATCCTTGGGCAGCTTTAAAAAAGATGCATAGGCCTCAGACATAGATATTCTGAGTCAGTAGGTCTGGGGTCCTAGAATCTATATTTCAAGAATGTTCCCCAGTAGGAATTCCCAGACCCCTCCATAATCACAAGAGGGAAAGAAGGAAAATGAGTGGCTGATGACATAAATGAGTCATGCCCTAGCACCCACTTGTCCCCTGCACAGCCCCTTTTCTTTTTCTCTTTGCCAGTTCTTGGCATTGATCTTCCTATCCAAGGAGAAGACTCTTTAAAAACAAATAATGAAGAATGTAATAATTTTCATTAAAAGCAGCAGTACTGGCACCAATAATTCTTAGTCTAATTTGGTGGGTGGGCAATCCATTTAGGCAGTGGGGCCATCTATCCCTATCAAATCAATGCCAATTTCTTGATCTTGGATGCTCTTGGAAGTATAAGACCAGCCTGGGTTTTTCTGCGAAGACCTGAGCCTTTTAGATCCATTGTGATAGATAGCTTTGGAAGCATCAGCAGCTATGGCAGCAGCTATCCAAATAGGCTGTCTTCCTGGGCCAGTGGGGTATGACCTTGTAGTGTAAATAAATGCCCATCACTCTCTAACTACCTATACTATGTATGCGTCTTTGTCTCTTAGTTCAAAGTTGGTCAGCCAATCAGGGGCTTTCTTTGGAATTGTGGGTCACAGCAGACTTTGAGAAGAGTATTAAATGATAAGGGTATTTACAAGCTTTCTTTTGGTTGGCTTGCAAAGTAGAGGATTCAGTGAATATTTGTAATCCCTTTTCATTTGGGTTATTTTCTAGATGGAAGGATTATATTCCTAAATCAATTATAATGATTTTTTTTTGTGTGTCAGGCTACAAATATGACTCCAGCCTAATTTTAAATGTGAAATAAATGCATTGTACAATATCAGGATATTTACCAAGTGTTTGTTTATTTATTTATATATTTATTTACTTAAGGTTATTAAAAATATAGCTAACATCCAATATTATATTAGTTTCAGGGGTACACAATAGTTATTCAACATTTATATCACCATGATAAGTCCAGAGACCATCTGACACTGTACTATGCTATCACAATATTATTGACTACATTACATCCCCATGACTTTTTTTTTTTAAGCTGGAAATAAGCTTTATTTAAATTTTTTTTAATTGAAGTTTATTGGGGTGACAATTGTTAGTAAAGTCACATAGGTTTCAGGTGTACAATCCAAGTGTTTTGTTTTGTTTTTTAAGATTTTATTGGGGAATTGGGGAAGGGGAACAGTGTTGGGGAATTGGGGAAGGGGAACAGACAACTTGCTGTCCTTTTGTTCTTCAGTCTAGTTGTGGAGGACATTGCTTCACTGGCCCATGTTGGTATTATCATTGTGCTCTTCTCGGGAGAGGCAGTTGCTCACTGGCCATTGGATGGCTGCTCACGGCGGCTCATGGCAGCTCATGGCAGCTCATGAAAGCTCATGCCAGCTGCTGGCCAGCCCCACTGCAGCCTACACCATTGCCGGCGACTCCCGGCAGCCCAGCTCCAGGTCGCGCTGTTGTTCACTATCTTAGCTGTAGAGGGCGCAGCGTCACTGTCCCACATGTGGGATCTGAACTGGGGCCCTGCTGCTCAGAGCTGGTGTCCCAAGCGAACTCTTAACCAACGTGCCACTTGGTCGGCCCACAGTCCAAGTGTTTTTAATGGCAAACATTGCCATTGTCTCTTCATACTTTAATAACAATATATGTTAATATATAAAGTAACACAGTTTATTATTTAATATGCTTAAAATATAATGTCATATACCTTTTTATTATGTGGTGACATATGGAAAGAGTTGTAGCAATTTGATTTTGAGACCTCTCTATAGTAATAGAAGCTATCACTTTAATTAATAAATTTGTCCACTGTAGAACTTCAGGGACAGTTGAAGACTTTACGTAGGTATTAATTACATAAAGTATGCTAAGATAAGGAAAACTTTTAATCAAGATTGAGCACAAAAAATAGCTCTGTACTATATTTCTGTGTACAAAGCAGTTGTACGGCACCAAGAAGTTATGTGTTAAGCCCATCAAGTATATGTGTTTTATACCTTTAACTATGAAAATCTTAAGTATCAATATAATCTGATTTTTAAAAATTTTATTTCATTTTTTCTTTTCCAGTTCCAATCCCTGTGCGGGACTTCTAAACATCTTTTCTTAGTGGAAACGTTATTTCCTACAACATGAAGTCAACCTCTTTACATCAGCGTTTGTGCTGTTCTGATTCATCTGTTATGGTTCATGAAGCTTGAGATCTGAGGAGCACAGAGACTTTTGCGATGACAATATGACTAATAATAGTAAAGGAAGATCTGTTAATAAAACAAGTGATGGTCCAAGTAGCGGAGGAGGTTTTGTAGACTGGACTTTAAACTTACATACAGTTCAATCTGATAAGTTTTTAAACTTATTGATGAGTATGGTTCCAGTAATTTACCAGAAAAACCAGGAAGACCGACACAAAAAAACAAATGGCATTTGGCAAGATGGGTTATCACCTGCCACCCAGACTTTTAGCACTAGATCTGAGCAGCACGCGGAGTATCACAGTTTCTCAGAGCAATCTTTCCATGGCAATAATGGGCACGCACCATCAAGCGGTAGCCAAATGTATGACGACTATGCCAACTACAATTACTGTGATGAAAGGGAGACTTCAGAAACTACTGCCATGTTGCAGGATGAAGACATAGGGAGTGATGGTGATGAAGATGCCGTTGTAGAAGCAAACCAAAAATTACCGAAGGAATCCAGCGGTGTCATGGCACTGCAAATACTTGTGCCATTTTTACTTGCTGGTTTTGGAACAGTTTCAGCTGGCATGGTTTTGGATGTAGTCCAGGTAGGTTTTCATCTTGTACTTCATAGCCTTTGTTGTTTCATGTGCTTTCTTTATGTAGGTTACTACTTTTTTTTTTTTTTTAGCTGAGCCATCCTGCCACCTGTTGGCAGCTCAGCGGCAGCTCAGCTCGGGCTGTGAATCGAACCGGCAACCCTGTTGCTCAGAGCTTGCACTCTTGAGTAGGTTACTACTCTTGTAGTAAATTGTTAAATGTGGCATTCTGTTACTATCAGTTTCTTTTCATCAATCAGAGAAAGATTAGCTCTGGGAAAGTGCTAGATAGGTTATCTTGTAATGTATTCTTATCTTTCATTTTTTTTGCTCCCTAAAAGAAATCTCAAGTCATTTGTGATTCTAAGATACTTTTCAACAGATAGCATTTTTATCTAAATGGAAAACATACATAAATAGAAACTTATCCTTTCTCCATCTCATGGTGGAAAAATTATGAAAATAACTGTGTTAAGAAGTATATTGAATTTTTGAATAGACTATAATACAAAAGGGGAACCAAACCTATTTGTTCACCTGAAATATAATTTTTTAAGTTATTACAGTAGTATCACAGTTGCTAAATTAATAAGTGGTTTTGGTTGATTATTTTTTGATATACCAATTATTCTGAACCAACATTCAACATTTAGCTATAAAATGATAACATCTCTAGGAACAATCTGTTAGCTTATAGATTGTTAGAATATTTACATAGCTTGTTATGTACATTCCTCTGGTGTAATGTTCACTTATTTCTTGATACTATTTGAGAGAACAGCACACGTATAATTGCAAAAAGTCCCTTTTATGATTTTATGAAGTTTAATACCTCTAGCCTTAAAGACTTTATAATGTTAAACTTCAGTGTTAAAAATCATAAAAACATAATTGTTTTGAAAGATTTAATTGAATGTGCTTTTAAAATTTTTTAAATTGTGAAATTTAACTCATACAGAGTGTAAAAAACAAAAGTGTACAGCTACGTGAGTTTCCACGACACAAACAACCATATAACGATCAACCAGGTCAAGAAATAGAATCTTACCAGTACATCATTAGACTATCTTGTGCTCCCTTCCAGTTGCTACTCCTTTTTCCCCATCACTGAAGGTAATCGATAATCTGAATCAGTGATATGTTTGTCTTTATAAGTGTGCATCATTAAATACCATCATTTGGTTTTACTTAATTCTTTTTAAACTTTATACAAGGCAAGTGTAGAGTATATATTCCTTTGTGCCTGGCTTTTTTTGCTGAACATTATGTAAATTTTATGAAACTAGTTTATTTATTTTTATTGCAGTATTGTAATCCAATGTATGAATATATGCAATTTATCTATTCTATTGATGGACATTAGAATGAATGGTGTTTCCAGACTTACTGGTATAAATGTACACACATTTCTGTTAGGTATATATATAGAAATGGAATTTCTGGGTCTGAGGTTATACAGATATTCAAATTTAGTATATGTCAAATGGTTTTCCAAAGTGGTTATACCAAATTACAGACTAATTAGCAGTGTGTGAGAGGTCCCATTGCTCTATATTCTTATATATACCAAGTATCAGCAGTCTTTTTAATTTTATAAATTCTGGCATATGTAGGGTGGTATCTCACTGTGGTTTTAATGGGGATTTCCCTGATAACTAATGATGCTTACTGGCCATTTGGACATTACTGGTAAAGTTTCTTTGCCTGTTTTCCTATTTGATGTGTTTGTCTTTTTCTTATTAATTTATAGGAGTTATTTGTATATTCTGGATATAAGCCCTTTAGTTGTATGTATTACAAATATCTTTTGCCCTGTCACTTGCCTTTTCACTGTTTAAGTGGTGTGTTTTGATGAACAGAAGTTCTTAATTTTGATATAGTCCCGTTTCCTACTTTTTCATGATTTGTGCTTTTTGTCTCCTTGTAAGAAATCTTTCCATACCCCGTGGTGATTAAGAATTTTTTTCTTTATATTACCTTCTTGAGCTTTGTTTTTTTGCCTTTTACATTTAGATTATGCCCTCCCTGGAGTTGATTTTTGTGTAGAGTGTGAGGTAGGGGTTGTGTTTTTCTCTTTTAAGTGTATTTCTAATTGCATCTGCATGATTATATAACAAAAATCTTTGTTACAAATCAAGTGCCCATTAATGTGGAAGTCTGTTTCTGGGCTCTCTATTCTGTTCCTTTGGTGTATTTATGAATCTTGGTGTGAATGCCACACTATCTTAATTACTCTAGTTTATAGGTCTTGATATCTAGTAAAGAATGCTCTCTCCTTGTTCTTCTTCCTCAAAAGTGCTTGGGTTATTCTTTTCCCTTTTCATATCCACGTACATTTTAGTATAAAAGCTTGTCAGTATTCATACAAAAAAAGTTGTCGCAATTGTGATTCAGATTGCATTGAATCCAGAGATAATTAGGGGGAGAACTGACTCGTTACAAAACTGAGTCTTCCAATACATATACATGGAATTGCCCTCCATTTATTTAGGTCATCTTTAAGTTCCCTCATTGATGTTTTATAGTTTCTGAACACAGGTCTTTTATATTTTTTGTTAGATTAATTTCTAGTTTTTGATACTGTTTGTACAGTATGTATATAGTGATATAGTTCATTAAAAAATGATGTGATACAGTTCTTTAAAAAATTTATTTTCTGTTGCAGATACATATATGTGTGTGTGTATATATATGTGTATATATACACACACACATATATATGTGTATATATGTATGTGTGTGTATATATATATATATATATATACATATATATATATATAGTGTGTGTGTGTGTGTGTGTATTGACCTGTATCTACCAGCTTGCTATAATAATAAAATCACTTATTAATGTTGATAATTTATCTGTAGATTCTTTTGGAATTTCTTCATTATAACCATATTATCTATGAATAATGACAGTTTTCTTTTCTAAACCTCACACATTTTAATTCTTTTTCTTGCCATTCTGTGCTGGCCAGGGCTTCCAAAGCATTATAAAATAGAAGTGGGGTAAGCAAGCAACCTTGTCTTTTTCCAGATCTCAAAGAGTAAGCTTGCAACACGTCATCATAAAACATGGGGTTTGCTGTTGATTTTAGTAATTTTTTTTATTAGATTAAGGAAGTTTCATTTTTTAGTTTGCTAAGGTTTCTTTTTAAAAAAATAATGACTGGACTTTGAGTTATCAAATACTTTTTCTCTTTTTATCCATAAGATTATATGATTTTTCTCCTTTATTTGTTACTGTGTTGAATCATTTTGATTAAACCAACCTTATATTTCTGGGATAAATATAATCGGGTCATGATTTATTGTTCATTTTATAAAACCCTGATTGCTTGTTAATATTGGTTAGAATTTTGCATCTGTATTCATATATAAGATTAGCATATAATTGTCCTGATAAACTCATAAATGAATTTGAAAATGTCAGTCTGTCATTTCTTTCTTAATTATTTGGTATAATTCCTGATGAAGACATTTGGGCTTACAGTTTTCTTTGTGGGAATATTTTTAACTACAGCTTGAGTTTCTTTGAAAGTCACAGGGCTAATCAAATTTTCTATTTCTTTTTGTGTCGCTTTTTTAAAATTTTGAACTATTACATTCCTAGATGTATATGTAGCAATGTATTGAGTTCAGTGCTCAATAAATATTTGTAGAATAAATGTTGGGCAATTGTCATTTATTGAAGGTTTGCTATAGGCCAGGCGCTGTACTAAGCCCTTTACATACATCATCTTATTTTAATCCTTCTGAGAAAACTGTAGAGGATGAGTTACTGTCTTTGTTCGATCAAATAAAAAATTTCACATTAATAAGTCATAACACTGGGGCTTGGATCTTGGTGTGACTTCAATGTCTGTTCTCTTAACCACTATACACTGTATAACTTTAATGCAAGTGAAAGCATTTGTAATCCTTTAAGGGCTACTTACTTCTAGAGTGATAGAGTTCAGGGCCAGCTTTAAAACTGAAAGAGATAAAGTTTGTCTTTGGTGCTATCTTAGTCTATAACAAAAGATCATAGACTGGGTGGTTTAAACAACAGACATTTAGTGTCACAGCTCTGTTGGCTGGGAAGTCCAAGATCAAGGTGCCAGCCTATTCAGTTTCTGGTGAGAGCTCCCTTCCTGGCTTGCAGATGGCTGCTTTCTCCCTATGTCCTCAAATGGTAGAGAGAAAGAGCTCTGGTGCCTTTTACTCTCATAAGGGCATTAGCCTATCAGATTAGGGCCCTGCCCTTCTGACCCCAATTAACTTTTATCACCTCCTCACAGGCCTTATCTTCAAGTACAGTCACATTGGGGGGTTAGGGCTTCAACATATGAATCACAGAGAGGGACACAATTCAGTCCATAGCAGGTGCTGTTCCTCCCATGTGCTGCTTCAGCTGGATCACCAAGTTCAGGACAAGGATTTAAATGGCGACAGATGGCAGATTAGGATATATTGCTTGGCCGTTATCTCCCTTCCATTTAATAGAACATCTACTTCCTGTTTTATGTCACACCTACTCTAGCCCTGCCTCTCTGCTTTCTACTTGTATTCTTTAATTATCCATCAGTTTGGAGATGTCAATTGATGCTTGCTGAGAAAATTTACCAAGATCACCTGTTTTGAGTTGAAGTAATAATCTAAAGATGGAGTTTTATAGATATTTCCTCACTTTACAAACGAGGACATTGATTGAGGCTCAGAGAGCTTACCCAGCTAGCAAAGGGGGGGAATTCAAATTTAGAATTTTTACCCCAAAGTCTATGCCTTTTTGTAGTGGTAGGAAATACAAATACATAGATAATAACTACAGTGTAAGAGTATGACTGAACATTCAACTCCTTTAGAAGTAAAAAGCAAGTGTTATAGGAACTCTACAGTGGTACCAAAAAGACCTATAGGAGATAGAATGCCTGGTTTTACGTTTTCAAGCTTATACAAAAGAGTAAGCTTTTGTCTCACCTAACTTTGTGTGCTTGTGCCTTATCACGTTCCTTTATGCATTCTGGGCT